CTGGGTATCGTAGATATTGTGGGTATCATAGATACCAGAATTGTAGCTACTCTGGGTTGTATCGTAGGTTCTCTGGGTATCGCAGATACTCTGGGTATCGATGTTACTCTTATTCCAGATAACTGGTCATTTGTTCGAATATAGCCTGGATTGCCAAGTCTTCCTTATTTTACTACATAGACAATGCAGATAATTACTGTGACTCTGAGAAAACTTAGCAAGCACGTCACATTTATGCAGGTGAGCAGCTTGGACATCTTCTCCGTGAATTACCATTATACATGCGTCTTTGTTACATTGGCCTCTATGAATAGTTATATTCATCATAATCTAAAGAAATCTTATACGGACACAGCTATTATTCATTACAATATTTTTCGCGCCCCACCTATCTTTTCATTAATAGATGTTTCAGGCGTCAAAAAAAGTTACCCGAAGTTAGGAAAATTCTTAGACTATTGGTAAAGAATTGCTCGCAGACCAGATCGCCACGACTGAGCACGTGCGGTTTTGAGCTATAACTAAGCTATTCCACAACAGCAGCCAAACCCTAGCCGCCATTGTCGACTGTAGGTATATTCATTAACCTTTATCTCAACGAGCACATACATCATGTATGTGTGTGTTTCAGTGCAGAAAATTGCTGAACACGAAACAATTTTTTCTCTGTAATATGTAATAATTTTCTTGTCACGACCGCGTGATATATGCAACCATCAGTCGGATGTGATGCGAATGCGATGCCAGCAAGCTAATGGCGGAATTATTCATACATTTATCCAGAGAAATATACAGTAAGTTTCAGCTTATGGTGACCTGGAATAAGGTATAAATTTTTCCATCATTGCTATCTTTGAATCGTTAGAGTGACTAAACAATAATAATCTTTAGAACTCTTGCTATTTAGAACTGTTAGCTCGCTCACTAACCTTACTTATATTCACGAATAATAATAGGACTATCTTTGATCAACTGGACCATAAACCAGGACACCGAGCCGCTGTCTCATTAGCTTCCTTCAAACTGGAGGGCAAGTGAACCACATGAGACAAGCTCACAACCAGACCGTCACTCATGTTGTGCTGGAAGAACCCACCAGCATCATCATCAAGCAGCGGCCCGACAGCAACCGACCGGCGATGGCTGAACCCCTAATCTCTACGGATTGGACTCCAGCATCTATCTTCTAACTAAGGATTTGTCTGAACTCTGAGATAGTTCGCAGAGTGATTCTTCTGGTTCAAAAATTTACTCAAGTACTCGATTTACTTATATTATGTACTATTTTCCACCAAAACTTCAATATATAATGCTCATTGAAAATGAACTTTTGTTGCATTCGAAACGTCGTTAATTAACTAGAACTACTTACTGAAACATGTCTCTCGATTTAACAACGTCATCGGAAGATTGATCGACTCTCTGATGATTTGAATTAACGAATTCTCTGCACACCGCTCGTACGTGTATAAATACCAGAAGTTGCATGATTTCACTCCCATACGTCGCTACGACGATTTACAGATGGAGCTTTAAAAATAATATAACAAAATTACGAATTGTGAATGTTACTTCAACGAGAGCTGTGTGCTGCCATATCGCAGTGACTGAGAACGCGCGTAATTTGACCTACGACTTAGCTATTCATCAACAGCCGTCAAACCTTACTCGCCATCATCGATAGTAAGCAAATTTATTGACATTCATCACAGCGATCATCTGCATCATGTGTGCGTAAGAATCAGTGCAAGAAAATAAGTGAAAAGCAATACTTTTTTATGTTATTTTATTCAAACGGCTACATGTACATCAGCCAGTAGTCTTATAGTAGTTCATAGAATTACTAAGTAAGTTATATAGCTAATATTTCATCGTATAAATTGTACTCCGAGACCAAGTTCATTCGTACGTAGATTGTCTGTCAATATTCAAATGAAAATTTTGCCAAAAAAATAGCCCAGTTTATAACATCTGTCCTGTGGAACCAACATGTTCACTTGTGTAGCAACCTGAATTTCAGTTAAAATGATCAATTATTGAGTGGACGTCTCAATACGACAAGACGCTAACGAATGTCTAAACACGACAGTGACTCGCGTTAGTTCGCAGAGTTTGAATTTAACTTAACTAAGTTGCCATGTTTTGGAATAAGTTATTCAGCGCAGTCACTCCGGGCTTTATTCACGTTGTGGATTGGCAACATGAATATTGTGACGTTACAGGCATGAAAAGCGCAAGTACCATGCATTTGTTTACCCTATCTTTATGTACCCTATTTACCCCTCTTTATGTACCCTATTTACCCTTCTTTATGTACCCTATTTGACTATTTACCCTTCTTTAAGTACCCTATCTACCCTTCTTTATGTACCCTATTTACCCTTCTTTATGTACCCTATCTTTATGTATCCTATTTACCCTTCCTTGTGTACCCTATTTACCCTTCTTTATGTACCCTGTTTACCCTATCTTTATGTACCCTATTCACCCTTTTTATGTATCCCATTTACCTTTCTTTATGTACCCTATTCACCCTATCATTATGTACCCTATTTACCCTTCTTTTTGTACCCTATTTACCCTCTACTTTCATTCTAATGCCAGTGTCTTGCATTCAATGTTTGCAAGATCTCATCACCGCGAAAAATGTGTTGTACGTTATGTCAAGATTGACGTATCTTCGGCGGAACTTCTGACCGTACTGGGCCGCCCTCCTTATCTCAACAACTATTTTTTAATTTCAATAGAACTTCTCTCATAAATTCATGTTAGACTTATTGTCCATTGCAAGACACGAGCCGCTGTACATCAACATCAACCGGCCTAAAATTCCTCCCATAACTCTGCTATACTATGTAAATATTTTACACATTATGTATGTACTCATTTATTACTTTACACATTGCTATGAACTTCCCGCATGTATTCGTAAGAGGCCTTTGGTGTGGCACTTCATTTACGAGCACCGGAAGTGAAGAACATTTTTTACGAGATGAAACTTCTGAAAAATTTTAGAAACATTTGTGATGTACGTAAATATAAAGAATGTTTTACTAAATGTAAGGAATGTATGTAAATAAAACGTGAACATTGCAGCATTGATCTGCCATTGACCAACAGATAAAAATAATTGATCTGTAGTAGCGTTTACCTGCATGAGTGGTTAATTAATCGGCAATTTTCTCAATGACTCACTTGCAAATGAACATTAAAGCGCCCAGTGATAAACATGGAAGAATGTCTCGCTGTGAGAGATATTAAAATATCGCACTCGTAGACACGCACCGAAATATATTCATCTAAATAGGATAAAAAAACGCTTAGGTTTCAGGCACTTGATTTGACACTGAACATCGTTCGTCGCACACCCGCCATCCGTCCAAATGTGTGACGTAACAAGACCCCTAGACCTCATCAGACCCTAGACCTCATGAGACCCTAGACCTCATGAGACCCTAGACCTCATGAGACCCTAGACCTCATGAGACCCTAGACCTCATGAGACCCTAGAATGTGTTTTCACAAGGTTTCATGGCTGACCAATTGTCCTCCTGATTTTAAACCAATTTTTTACAACAGATATGTCAATGACACCTTTCTTATTTTCAAGCATCAGTCTCATGTAATGCTTTTCTTTGATTACCTTAACTTGCAACATAATTCTATTTAATTTACCATGGAACTTGAATTGAACAATAGTTTGTCCTTTCTAGACTGCAATATTACTAAATCTAATGGCCATTTTCAAACATCTGTTTTCAGAAAATCAACTTTCACCAGCCTAAGCACTAGCATTTTTAGTTTTTGTTCTTTTAGATTCAAGTTAAATGGGCTTCAAACACTATTACACCACGGCTTTTGTATATGCTAGACTTTCCATTCCATGCATTCTGAATTTGAATTTTTGAGCAATGTCTTCTTGCCTAATGGATTTCCTTCTGACATGGTGTTTCGTCAGATTAAGAAATTCAAGTCTAAGCAATACAGTGAAGTTGTTCCAGAGCCTGATAGTAGAAAAATGGTTTACTGTTCTCTTTCATACTTAGGCCATGCGTCCAAAGTTATGTCAAGAGAATTAAAACTTTTGTTTATGAAGTACTTTCCAGACATAATTCTTCATATCTTACTGGTGAATAATTTCAAAATAGGTTCATTTTTCAGGTACAAAGATATCCTCCCTTCTCACATGCAATCATCCCTAGTTTATAAATTTAATTGTGCATGATGTGCATCTGCATAGGTTGGGATGACAGCATGCAACCTTTACACTAGGGTCGCTGGGCATAAAGGGAGGAGTTATAAGACTGGCAGTTACTATCGCGCCCTCCTCATTTGGCTGTGCGCACTCACGCCTCACGCTGAGCAGTGAAACATTCCGGTGTCCAACACTGATTTTAAGGTTTTAGCTTATAGTTCTGGTGCTTCCGATCTGCGAATTTTGGAATCATAGTAGATTTTTTAGGAGAAGCCTAGTTTAAATGCTGCCTACAGTTCTTATCCATTAGAAATTGTGAATAGATAGATATTTCTTTATTATTCTGCCCTTTTCCTGTAAATCTAGGTTTTGACTTCTGTTGTTTTTTTTTTCTTTGGACTACAAACTTTATTAATTTTCTGACTGTATTTGTGTTTTAGATTTATCAAACTGACGATGGAGCTGGTCTCTGAAATCTAATAATACATTGCTACATTAAGTAATTTAATACCATTTTACACTTCCTTTACTTCACAAAAGTATATGCATAAAAAATCAGGTAATATACCATTAATTCACATTTTGGCAACCACTGCTCTATTACCTTAGACATTTATTCAAGACTGCAGAATTTTCTAAATTTTTTTTCCAAATACAGACAACATTCCATTGAAGAATTGTGAAATGATGCTCACAATATATCCACATATAAAGTCTTGAGATCATACAAAAAACTTATTTGTAAAAGTGCATTAAAATTTATAATTGAAAATGCTGGCTTAGATTGCCATGATTGTTCAGGAAGAAGATAAGTGCAGACTCATCGGTGACTAACCTCCTCATCATCTGAGCCAAAGAGATCCACATCATCATCATCATCATTAGCAGGTGCAGCAGCAGGTGCAGCAGCAGGTGCAGCCTCCAGTGTAGGCTTTACCCCCGGCAGGGCAGTTTTGTCACTCCCGTAGGAGGCAATTTGGTTGTACCAGCGCAGGGCATGGTGGAAACTTGCTGCTGGGGCTGAGCCCAGGGCTTCAAACACGGCAACGTCACTTTGGCTGGCTGAGAACCTGGCCACAGAGTTACCAGAGCTACAGACAGAGTTACCCATGCTACAGACACACAGTTGCCAGAGCTACGAATTTTAATCTATGAATGTTTCCAAGCTAAACCACTATTTAATTGCTGTTTAAATGAGCTATAAGTGAAACATTGTTATTTAATGGTTAAGCTACCCATAAAATATTTCAAAATCTTCCTAATATATTAAGCAAATTTGTTCTATAAATCTCTCATTTAAAGATGACCAAATATTTTAAGAGCTTAGCTGCTAGGTTCATAGATTTGATCATTTGAAAATATTGGGGACCCTAATATTCAGCATGTTCCAATTTTCTATTTTGTCTTTTGTTGCATTTAAATCAAATGGCATTTATTTTGATAGGATGGGCTGCACGGAGCTTAGCGTGTCAGTTTCCCTGTGCTACCTGGCTGGTTTACACTAGCCAGTGAAGCTCCTGCTCTATATTCAGAGGACTTCCACAATGAAATTCTTTTGTATCAACGAGACAGAGTTTGGTAACTTAAATAAATTTTTGACTCATTTCAATTGCTTTGAAAACTTTACACCAAATGAGATTTTACTTACTGAATGAATTATGTCAACTAATTTTAATATTAAAGGAGAATAAATGTTCAAGACTTCAAGTTTGACATCATTTCTAGTCCAACAAAAATTCAGAATAACTGCCATTGATAAACCACAGCCTATAAAACAAATGGCAAAAATAATAATAATACAGTCAATAATAATAAAGTCAACTGGTCTACAAGAAAGTTGGGTATACTACATGAGATAACCGGTAAATTATTATTTATTAATACATCAATTTCACTCTCTTTCTGAGACCTTTCTGACAAGCATTGAGGCAAGTTCAGTATCTGCCAAGATGAAACTTGTGTATCATTAACATTTATCAGTAGTTGAATTATCTCTTAGTATAATTAAATTTTTCACAACAAAGCATGATTGAACAAAATTACAAATGTATTAAGAATGTGTAACATTAGATTTTAGCAAGATTTTAATAATTATATAATTTGTTCAAACTTATCTGTGGAAAATCTTCTATCAAATTCAACAGGGAGAGCAGTCCAGCAGTAAAATTATCAATTAATCATAGATAGATGCAATCATTTCACAGACAATTTTTGAAAAGTGCAGTCAAGAATGTGCCATTTTTCCAAATTTTTACAAAATAAATTGGTGTGGAGTGCCATAGAAGGGGGCAAATTAACTGCAAGCCAGGCGGCATTTGCCTGATTTTCCAGTTTTTGTTTAAAAAACTTAGGTACTAAATTGCAAATGAAATGTGTGCTGAAGCATTAAAAAAAGTGACAAAAATCAGTAAGTTTTGCAAAAAAATGTATTTTTGTTTAGACCTAGTTCATTTTCATTGCCTGAACTAGGTATATTATTTTTTTAATATTATATCAGTGTTAACAACTTAACATCAGCCTCATCAGGAGACTCTTCAGTCTTCACTAATGGGTAATAAGGACTAAGGAGAACTCTGATTTCTGAATGAGTACAACTAAAGAAAACTGGAGTAAAATGGGTATTATTGCAGATTAACTACATCCAAAAAAAGGGTGTTTTTTTTTAATTATATGTTTTTTGGGGTGTAGATTACGAATCTGAAATCCATTTTTGGCGGTCGGCATCGGAAAACCGATTTTTTTCCGACCCAAAAATCGCGCTAAAAATGCCTAAAATCTGCGAAATCGGCGAAAAATCGGACGAAAATGTTACCCGTTGCAGTGCAACGGGTAACATTTTCGTCTTCTTTGTCCATAAATCTGGAGATACATTGCCACATCGAGAGATCACAACCTAATGCCAACTCGCAGGTTGGGTTGGTTCGCCCAGGTTCCTTTTAGATCAAAATGCTATCTAAAAAAAGGAACTTGGCTGACTTAACCCAACCTAAGAGCTTTTTGTAAAATTTCGATGAACAATCCGACCCTTTATATAAAGGTGAGTGGGTAACGTAAGTTACGTAACCCCCATGTTAGTAAATAAAGGTGAGTGGGTAACGTAAGTTACGTAACCCCCATGTTAGTAAGTCGCGAAAAAAATCGGTTTTCCGATGCCGACCGCCAAAAATGGATTTCAGATTCGTAATCTACACCCCAAAAAACATATAATTAAAAAAAAAACACCCTTTTTTTTGGATGTAGTTAATCTGCAATAATACCGTAAAATGTTTCATTTAGTAGGTATTCTTTCAAGCAAAATTAAACATTTTACAGATTCCTGTCAGCACAGCCCACACTCGGGGCGATGATAGTGGCAAACTAGAGCTTTTTTAGAATCAGTTCATTTTTAATTTCCTCATTTACTCAAGATTTAAACCAATTTCTTAAGTATGATAATGCTGGTTGCTGGTATGATGTGGTATCTAGGATACTTTACTGGTCTACTTATAGGACTCAAAAATGAACTTGAGGGAGAGTCTAAAAAACTCTCTGCTTTTGCCACTAAACACTATACACTCAGCCCCACAGGCATCACTCACCAGTCACCACATCAGGGCTCAGGCAACACAAACTTCTTAATATTGGCTTCCACTGCTCAGAATAATTTGAGAAAATCTCCCAATTTTACAGATTGGACAAAGTATTCCAAACATATTATAGTGACAATAGTGTAGTCACAGTAAGTCACTGTAGTGAGTGTACGCAGTGTAGACTGTAGTCTGTGACTCACTCTGTGTAGACTGTCACTAACAAAGAGATTAAGAGAAAGCTAAGATTGAGAATCAATAATCTATTTCTATAGTATATTATGTAGACTAAATAATAATGTAGTAATTATAAAGCTTATGGATTTTTCAATTACTTAATAATTGGAAAATAAATCGATAAAAATTACCCTTAGTTTCATAAAAAGGTCATCAGAACCGGTACAACCACGTGTATTGAGCCAAGGCGCATCAGTCAACAGAAATATACTGTTATAAAAATACTTACCCTTCAATATAACTCCGCTCAGCGAGAAAATCGTTAAGAGCTTTAACTCCAGCTGCTTGTTTGAGGTTTCCGAAAGTAACCATTGTTATTTTTTAATGTTTATTCTTAGAAGAAGGAAGACGTGTTATTGCAACAAGTGTTTTGACACGTGAAAGGCCGTGCGTTCGAGTGCGTTGGTTGGGGTACGGACTCGTGTTCGAATTGCTATAATTACCTCAGTTTTTAAGGTCCTACAAATTTATATAAAATTTGATTTAAACTAATGATTCATTAGCCTGAAGGCTCTAGAAAATATTAAATCTTGAATTGACTGGGTGGACGATTATACATAACGTTTGCATTATCTACTGGTCAACATATACAATTCTTTAATACGCGATATTAATGAACAGATATAAAACGAGTACATTCAACATTGTACACAAAAATTTGAATTTTGATAAAATTCTCTTCTATATTGCTTTATATACCACAAATCTTTTTCTAACTAAAACCATGGTTTTTTGGGTTATGAATGGTGCTAATAAAACATCACCCAGAACATGAATGAGTACCACTTCATAAAAAATTGGGTGAATTTAGTCTCATATATCTGAGGTATGCAAAATATTATTCGATATTAAACTTTAAAACTAAATATTTGAATACTTATATAGAATAGGCTGCATATGGATAGTATGTTTCATTTCAATATAATTTATATTATTTACCACCCACTGGGCAGGGTGGCCCAAAGGTTATAAAGTTCAGAGTACCATGATTGGACCATGTGTTGCGGGATCGATCTCAGCTACCTGCGACAGTTCCTGGTCAAAATCGGCAAGGAGGCCGAGCGGTTGAGCAATGAAAAATTGGAGCAGTGAGTTGCGTGTTCGAGACCCGCAACAAGTTGCGAATGTTCTATTCTGTTTTAAACTATTTCTTGAAGAAACACATTTTCTAAGACGGCAATCACTAGTTCAACTGGTAAACAGCATGTTTAGCAGGAGACCCAGTAGCGGCATGGCCTCATAGGTACACGTAGCCGCCTATGTACACAAAGCAGCTAAAGTACACATAGCGGCCTAAGTACACGTAGCGGCATGAGTTTATGTAGAGGCCTAAGTACACGTAGCGGCCTAAGTACACGTAGCGGCCCATGTACACGTAACGGCATACGTACACGTAGCGGCCTAAGTACACGTAGTGGCCTAGGTACACGTAGCGGCCTTGGTACACGTAGCGGCCTATGTACACGTAGTGGCCTAAGTACAAGTAGCGGCCTTGTTATACGTATCGGCCTAAGTACACGTAGCGGCCTAAGTACACGTAGCGGCCTAGGTACACGTAGTGGCCTAAGTACACGTAGTGGCCAAAGTACACATAGCGGCCTATGGCCTAAGTACACGTAGCGGCCTTGGTACACGTAGCGGCCTTGGTACACGTAGCGGCCTAAGTACACGTAGCGGCCTTGGTACACGTAGCGGCTTAAGTACACGTAGCGGCCTAAGTACACGTAGCGGCCTTGGTACACGTAGTGGCCTAAGTACACGTAGCGGCCTAAGTACACGTAGCAGCCTAAGTACACGTAGCAGCCTAATTAAGTACACGTAGCGGCCTTAGTACACGTAGTGGCCTAAGCACACGTAGCGGCCTTGATACACGTAGTGGCCTAAGTACACGTAGCGGCCTTGGTACACGTAGCGGCCTTGGTACACGTAGCGGCCTTAATTGGTACACGTAGCGGCCTAAGTGCACGTAGTGGCCTAGGTACACGTAGCGGTCTTGGTACACGTAGTGGCCTAAGTACACGTAGAGGCCCAAGTACACATAGCGGCTAATTCCTTGTCTGTGATAGGTGGGTTGAGCATAAAAAGCGGTCAGTAATTGGCTGACGTAGTTAGTGCAAGAACACATAACATATTTATGAATAAATATAAATAAATAAATATAAATATGTTAAATATAAATATGTTAAATAAATATAAATATGTTTTTTGATAATATAGCCACGAACACGTGCCTGGAAGTTGTAACATATTTATTATTCCTGCTGAGTTCTGACTGATATTAATGTGACTGATAAACTAAGTCTAAGTTATACATAAACAGGAAGTATTAAATATGTACCCTCTGCAATATGAAATAAAAAATACGTACCCGATGCAATATGATATAAAAAATATTACTCAGTACTCACTGCAGTGAGTGACAGAGAGCGCATTTTCTCAAAATCGACGAAAACTTGAGGTCACGGACAGACAGACGGACGGACATGACGAGCACAATAGCACCTTTTTTTCATAAATGAGAAAATGCGTTAAAAATGCAATATGAAATAGAAAATAGTAACCTACTTTCAGTGATAAAATTCGTGACCATTTTGCAATGTTTTGACTGGAACGCGGTTTTTTTTGAAGAGTTATTTACGAACTACCGAATTTGGACAAATTTTGCGACAGAATAATATTTTAGGATATTTTCTGGTCCCTATCAGTCACTTATGATGAGTAGGTATAAGTAATACCTTGCCTATATCACTTATATGCAGAGGTGGGCAGTAGCGCGCTACATGTAGCGGTAGCGGCGCTACATTCAAGAAATTGTAGCGGTAGCGGCGCTACATTTAAGAAATTGTAGCGGTAGAGCCCGCTACATTTAGAGCTTATAGCGGTAGCGGCCGCTACATTTCAAAGTAGCGCTGCCCAGCTCTGCTTATATGTATCATTAATTTTTAATCAGCTACACTCATGACTCACTTGCAGCACTCATGACTCACTTGCAGCACTCATGACTCACTTGCAGCACTCATGACTCACTTACAGCACATGACTCACTTACAGCACATGACTCACTTACAGCACTCATGACTCACTTGCAGCACTCATGACTCACTTGCAGCACTCATGACTCACTTACAGCACTCATGACTCACTTACAGCACTCATGACTCACTTACAGCACTCATGACTCACTTACAGCACTCATGACTCACTTACAGCACTCATGACTCACTTACAGCACTCATGACTCACTTACAGCACTCATGACTCACTTACAGCACTCATGACTCACTTACAGCACTCATGACTCACTTACAGCACTCATGACTCACTTACAGCACTCATGACTCACTTACAGCACTCATGACTCACTTACAGCACTCATGACTCACTTACAGCACTCATGACTCACTTACAGCACTCATGACTCACTTACAGCACTCATGACTCACTTACAGCACTCATGACTCACTTACAGCACTCATGACTCACTTACAGCACTCATGACTCACTTACAGCACTCATGACTCACTTACAGCACTCATGACTCACTTACAGCACTCATGACTCACTTACAGCACTCATGACTCACTTACAGCACTCATGACTCACTTACAGCACTCATGACTCACTTACAGCACTCATGACTCACTTACAGCACTCATGACTCACTTACAGCACTCATGACTCACTTACAGCACTCATGACTCACTTACAGCACTCATGACTCACTTACAGCACTCATGACTCACTTACAGCACTCATGACTCACTTACAGCACTCATGACTCACTTACAGCACTCATGACTCACTTACAGCACTCATGACTCACTTACAGCACTCATGACTCACTTACAGCACTCATGACTCACTTACAGCACTCATGACTCACTTACAGCACTCATGACTCACTTACAGCACTCATGACTCACTTACAGCACTCATGACTCACTTACAGCACTCATGACTCACTTACAGCACTCATGACTCACTTACAGCACTCATGACTCACTTACAGCACTCATGACTCACTTACAGCACTCATGACTCACTTACAGCACTCATGACTCACTTACAGCACTCATGACTCACTTACAGCACTCATGACTNCATTTAGAGCATGTAGCAGTAGCGCCCGCTACATTTGGAGCATGTAGCAGTAGCGCCCGCTACATTTAGAGCATGTAGCAGTAGCGCCCGCTACATTTGGAGCATGTAGCAGTAGCGCCCGCTACATTTGGAGCATGTAGCGGTAGCGGCCGCTACATTTCGAAGTAGCGCTGCCCAGCTCTGCTTATATGTATCATTAATTTTTAATCAGCTGCACTCATGACTCACTTACAGCACATGACTCACTTACAGCACATGACTCACTTACAGCACTCATGACTCACTTACAGCACCCCATAGCCCCGGATCAACCGCGGATGATCCGGCGGATGCTTGCCAATCAGCCGCGGCTGAGCTTCATTAAAACCGGATGCGCGGCGACCGCGGCCAATCAATGGGTCTGGTGTGGGTCTGGTGTGGGGTCTGGTGTGGGGTCTGGTGTGGGATCTGGTGTGGGGTCTGGTGTGGGGTCTGGTGTGGGGTCTGGTGTGGGGTCTGGTGTGGGGTCTGGTGTGGGGTCTGGTGTGGGG